TGACACAAAACAGTTGCTGTTGGCTGGAAGATATTCCCTGCGTCCTGAGTGGAGTTTTTAAGGCTCCACTCCCAGTGCAGTTGTTCTGAAGGCCCATTACACAAGCGCAGACCAGCAACTTTCTATTCCCAACAGAGCAATGAGCTGTAGGTCCTGACGGCCACGTTTGAAGATATTCTGAGTCATTCTGACTTTCTGCACCTTTTCATTCACGGACATACAAGCCTTACTTGGCTATGGGCCCTGTCAATGGTGACGCCATGGACATTATATCAGTTTATTACAATTTTGTCTTATAAGGAAAGAATTCTGGATCCTACAAATGAGCAAGGAGCGCGCGTGTGCCTACAGCGTATGTCTTTGCATATGCCTGATGATACCATGAAAAACCTTTGAGCGCTTTATTCCTGCCCAATATTGCTGCAGAGACGCCCCCACAAGCCCCCATCTGTTACTTACACCAAACATTTGGATGTCATCCGCACTACACATAAGCATACAACCGATGCCGACGGCCAAAGTCAATTTGCAAGCCCCTGCACAAACATTTTGTGGGCATAAACTTACCGCAGTCTTCACACAAGATCCTCCCAACATCTTTTTTCAGGTTCTTCCCACTTGTATCTAAGGGCGCAAACGACGCTTTAAAAACCAAGGGTTCATCAGTTGGGTCCATGAAAAATATATACTTGTGATTCTTCTTCACTTTAGCGCACGGAGCCTCCGAGCCAAATTCCCCCACGGTGACGAGCTGCTCCCGCTCCAGACCCCCGCTGTTCCGCGGCCACACGTCCAGGACTTTGACATTCACACTGTACGGCTCCGCTGAGACGTTCTGAGGCGCGGACTGCACCTTGCCCTCAATCACCACGGCGGATCTGTAAGCCTGGTCCTGCAGGGAATTCAGACTCGGGGAGTAGCAGGCGAAGGAGACCCCGATGAGCAGCATGGATAAGTGTACCGAATCAAGCCTCCTCATGCCGCCTGCTTTGGCTCGATGGTCGGTGGTCGCGTTGCGGCAGGGCTGCGGGGCGATGGCGGTGGAGCTGGGTTGAAGGCTGAAGAGACTGCGAATAGGCTCCAGTAGCACGGCGGCGCGGCAGAACTTGCGTAAGTGTCCATGCCATCGGGATCCGCTGCTTTTTTCCGATAGATTTGCAATCGGGAAACACCAGCTGGGAACCGGAAACGGCGTAATGCTGCTGGGTTAATACAGATCCCTCAACTGCATTCTGCCGAAGCGCATCCTAAAATACAGGTAAAGTCGTGGACGCTGCCTCCTCCGAAGACACGAGCAGGTATCCGCAAGACGCCGCCAGTCAATCTTTGCCCCGAAATTGCAGTGGTGAGCGCCCTACTCGCCACTGGTGCTGTGCATCTTCCACTGCAGTCGAATGTGAAATACTGCAGTAAACTATTAGGGCTACTTTCGATATCCCCTCAGCACAAACGTTGTAAGAATCCACTTTCGTAGCGATAAAACGCGTTTGCCGTAGGCTATCCCTCGCGCCCCGTCTCTGTCCGCCACCCCGATCTATCAGGGCAAGATTCCCCGCACAAACGGCAGATTCACGGCTGGGGTGCTGAAACGAACGCCCATGCGCCGGCGTGTGCGTCTTTAGTCTCCGACACCCCGAGAAAAATGGTCAGTCCATGATCTCTCCCATCGCCAATCCTCATCGAATAAAAAAAAAGAGGAGGTTTTTTTTAGGTTTGCGCTGCTTTGAGTACGATGGCTAACAGTGCGAATGAATGAGCTTTGAATGAGTTTTGCGTCTCATTCCATTACTAAATCATGCCCTGCATTCAGGTCACATTCGCTGCTCTGCCTCAGAGAAGAAAAAAATTATAGTGAGGCGTTGCATCAAATCTATAGGCTACGTCTGGTATTCGTTGCATTGTTGATGCCTGGCCGAGTGAGAACATTTTTAACAAATGAAAGGAAGGAACATCACGGATGAAGCAGCAGACTGCATCAAACACAAAATATGTGAACAAGACGGTAAAAGATTTATAGACGCATACTGTGGTGTATGGTAGAAAAAGACACACAATGTTTAAAAGGATATGATAGATATCAATATTAGACTTTCACCGGTTAGGAACGATGTATAAAATAACCTAAATCCTGAACTAAATGAAGGCTGAACCTGTGGATCTGCAAAGGAACGTAGCTCCAAATTCACTAAGGGCGACATCTGCTGTTCTCTGCGCACAGAACGTCAGAGCCACAACCCTTTTCTAACATGTAAGATGACTGGGAAACATGGGTCAGAAATAGCGCAAATTGGGGTCCCTCAAACTTATAGGCCTACTTACTCAATTGTAATTTAACGAAAAGTATTGGTAGTAGGGGGACAGGACCAGTGTCCCTTGGAGTAACTTGGGGTCATAGGGTTTTGCTCAATGCACAGTGGTAATAGTTCATGAGTTGCCCCTTGCCGAGTTTTTACTACTCATAGGATGCTTATTGCTTTCTTCAAGACAAAATTGTAATAAACTGAGCTATACTGTTCATTGCCTAACTGTCAAGTGATTTAAGATAGGCCTATACATCTTTATATTTCATGCATTCTATCAGACAAAGAACGTATTTAAGTGTTAAAGATGTATATTGTGCAATCTCAAGTTAAATTGGTAAAAAAAAATGATCATGATGCTGATATAGGCAGTTTTACAAGGTAATGACACCTTCAGGGTGTTTATCAGAAAAAAAGAATAAGGTTAATGCCAATACTTCTACAAATGCCACGTTTTTAAATAATCAGATATAAATCTGTAACAGGGTTGACTATTTGCGATTGTCTCCAGCTGATAAACATAAATACGCAAATAAAGTAACAAGATGAATTGGATAATGTCGTTCCAAACCCGTAAGACTTTCGTTCATCTTCGGAACACAAATGAAGATCTTTTAGATGAAATATGAGTAATTTCTGTCCTTCTGTTGACAGTCACAACTACTTTGATGCTTCAAAAAGTTCATAAAAATTGTTAAACTAATCCATATGAATAGAGAGCGGTTTAGTCCAAATTTCCCGAAGAGACACAACCGCTTTATACACTAAACATATTTAATTTAAGCCTTTTCACATACACATGTCATTCACATATACACATTCATCAATGCAAAGAGCAGTTATGGTAAACAGAAGCTCAAGCATGATCGTTTTATGTGCAAGAACCAATGAGGTTCATTCTCGTGTTACACAGCATGTTTGAGCTTCAGCAAGAACCAATGAGGTTCATTCTCGTGTTACACAGCATGTTTGAGCTTCAGCAAGAACCAATGAGGTTCATTCTCGTGTTACACAGCATGTTTGAGCTTCAGCAAGAACCAATGAGGTTCATTCTTGTGTTACTCACCAGAGCTTCCGCAAGAACCAATGAGGTTTATTCTCGCGCATCAAGCAGGTTAAGTTCGCTGATCAATGTTTATACTGTATATAAATACAATCCTAAATTCTGTTCATCATGTAAAGCGATCAAGTCAATTCAGAAAATGTGGACAAAACCACTCAATTCATATGGATTAGTTTTACGATCTCTTTATTAACTTTTTGTAACGTCTAAGTGGTAGTTGCGTAGCTGTCAATGGAGGAACAGACATGTCTTAGATTTCATCAAAAATACTTTTATTTGTGTTCCGAAGACGAACGAAAGTCTTACAGGTTTGGAACTACATCGAGGGTGGGTTTTGGGTGAACTATCACTTTAAAGGGCATATCTTGAAAGAAAGTGTTTATATAGTGCATTCTTCTTAATAGACTTGTGATAGGTAACAAATAACAAGGACTTTTTTTTTTAAATTAGATACAAACATTTCTTTTATCTATGTTTTTCAGTCAAAAGAATATTTGCAAGTAATAACAGCAAGAGCGAAAGACGAACATGTCATTTTGTTTTGTTGATATGTTCAGAAAATGCCTTATAGCACACAATAACAGCTCAATATAATAAGAGTTTTGACACAAACGGCACCATTTTCGTGGAATGAAATCAATAGGCTATAACACTTCTAGATCTTTTGTTTAAGTAATGTGAAGGTTGAGTACTGGAGTTACAAATCTCTTTATTAATTGTAGGTTAATTTTACACAGGCATACTACCAACTTGCTAAAGACAACATTCAAAACCGATAGATCATTAGAAACGCAGCGATGCGCGTGACGGAGACAGCGGTTACTGTCCATGGTTCTGAAACTGCGCTGCCCCGATAAAACTACTCCAGCCTACATATCTAAATATCAGTTTAACGAAATTATTCATAAAAGTCTTTATACCATAAAAACACTTACAACTTAGGCCTGACATGAGTTGAGACAATCCACGTGTCCTCAGCTACACATCCACCTATCTCTATAAATCGTTTGATCATATCAAACATGATAAACATCTCGATCACGCTTTTCTAAACACTAAAAACTTTTGAATAAATCATTTTAATCTCCACTTGCTACACCCTTAAAAATAAAAAGATAATTTAATGGTTCATTGAAGCACTGTAAGTATAATACAGCACCCTCTTTTTTCCCCCCAGATTCTGAGTTGCCTATATGTTTCTTTGGAGAATTAAAATTCCATCAGGTTACAAACAAATTAGTTCTAGGTATCATCCGTTGACAATACAAGCTTATGAGTTATTTGAAACAACCTATTATGTTACAATGATATGGTAAAACCAACTTTTTCATAGGAGGCTAGGATAAAGAACTGTGACATTTAAGGAAGATAATAAAACACAATCGGTGCATATTAAATTCGCAACCCAGTAAAAAGGTTATTATGACACTGGTTTTCGATTCTACAACCACTTCTAGCTCAGCGAATCTACCCATAAAATGTAGAATAAATCTCATATGAGATGTATGTGAACAATATATGAACAAGTTTGCCAGATTCAATAGCATCCCCATCTGCAATTTCGCGAAAGCAACACTGCGAGGCGCACGAGCTTTTCTCCAGCTGAGCGTGCTGACATCAGACTGCACGCGCACAGCGTTGAGCTCGTGCGTGCGTCCGTCTCCATGCCACGACTCGCTCTTTCGTTCCATCTTGTGAACGGCGCATCGGTGAAGCAGCACCGCGACAGTGTTTACAGTAGGCCTTCGGGGCTTACAGGTTTTCATCTTTGTTTTTGACAGTGTTCAACTGCGAAGGGCTTGCACAGGGGCTAACGCTCTGCCTGCAGACTGAGCGGGGTAAGATATGCCGAGACACGTCGCTCGTTATGAGGTCTGCGACTTTGGCAACAGCACTGCACTTACGATCTATGTCATGGTATTCCGCGGTATACCTTTTTTCTGGTCAGTATAACCACGGAATTAATATCCGCAGCCGTGGGCAGATTGCACAGACAGCTTGCGCAAACTCGTTAACTGTTTACAGTGCTGACAGACTGCGAGGCTGACACACACTCTGTCGGTTGCGGCAAATCCAATGCCATTTAATGTGACTGTGATATACCGTTATGAGTTCAAGCTTGCAGAGTTCACCTTCGACCAAAAGCAAGCACACCTTTGAGTAAACGCTCATGAGTTGAGAGTCGACGGTCCTTCTTTCCTTCACTCAGTGTCTTTTTTACGCACTGTCACTTATGTTAGGCCCATGACAAGCAGTTTACACGTGCACTAGAAGTTGCAAATAAGAACATGTTAAGTTTCAATTAAGAATAACGAGTTAAGATATTCTTCATTCTAGCAAGCAACAGGCCACACAAAGTTAGTGACCACTAACTTTTTAAATGGTTTGCCATGAGGTAATATAATTTTCTTTTAATCATGGGGAAAATAAGCAAATAGGCCTATTATTTAGATGCTTTGTATTTATTGTATATTTATTTTATTGTATATTTAAATATATTGAATGACAAACAAAATACATGCACTTTGTTTATTAAAGCATATGCTAGAGTAGACATACATGTGTAAGCAATTGAATACGTGAAGTAGGCCTAAAAGCCATCTAATCTTTCAATTAACTGCCGGAGCATAAGAAGCAGTTCACCTTGCTTCTTCATCAGCTGTTTTGACATCCCTCCACCCCCCAACTCAACAAACATCATTTAGGCTACCAGACTCATCTTCCAAGGATTAGTAGGAGTATCTAAGCCCTAGTTGAAGCTGCTTCCTCGAGCCCCTCTAATGCAATATGTTTAACCTTAATAGCATAAAGATAATATGGGCAAACGAACTCGTGAAATTTTCAACGTGAATGCTGCTTGTATTCGACGTGTGCTCGGTGTTTAGATTATGGATTGAAACATTAAACATTGGAGGGAAAAATGGTATTGCAATGCAACATGTAAATATTGCATTTATGAATCCCACTTCAAGTATAGAGTTTCTTCTTCTCAAGGCGTTCTTTATTGTTATATTAAGGAAAATTGCATGTAAATATTTTTTTTATCTGTTTATTACCTCCCTCACAAACAATGTCTGCATGGAAAACACGTCAGGTTCTGTCAACTGGACTATTATAATAATATTGGTAACTATTTACAATGTTAACATTATTAACCCTCTGGGGTCTGAGGTGTTTTCGGGGTCCTTGAGATGTTTTGGCATGCTCTGACATTTGTGCTTTTTTCAGTTGCTTATAAACATATTAATGGCACAGGTGAAATTACACTCTATATAGCACACACAGGGCTACCATTATATGTGAGCAACATGTATGTACATGTTTGTATTTTTGAGAGAATATTGTTTATGCGTGGTTATTGAAAAAACTAAAAAATAAAGTTTCTAATATATGGCCACAAATAACATACTAAATATCTGTCCACAAGACTTTTGACTAGTGGATGTTGTCGCCTAGAGTATTTGCTTCAAATTGATCTGAAAATCATTCTGGCTAATCATTCACATAAAACAATAGATTGTTTTAAATTGTGAAAAACATTTTTTTGTTTGCAAAGGCAATATGCGGATGGGCGGATCGGCCCAACCCCCTCATGAATAATTAGGCAGTTCTCACCTGAGCAGACTGCATACTAATGAGCCTTTCATTCAGGGGTGTCACACAAGAAAGAATGCAAGGACAATATATATATATAAATAAATAAATATTTATACACACACACACACACACACACACACACATATATATATATATATATATATGTGTGTGTGTGTGTGTGTGTGTATATAAATATTTATTTATTTATATATATTTATTGTCCTTGCATTCTTTCTTGTGTGACACCCCTGAATGAAAGGCTCATTAGTATATATATATATATATATATATATATATATATATATATACATATACATATACATATATATATATATATATATATACAAACAATCAAAATATAAATGAAAGCCAAAAGCACATTTTTAGTCACACCTTTTAGCCATCCACATACCATTTTTAGCCATCCACCGCGGTAAAAATAAACCAGTCGCATTTCAAAGTCGTACGCGAAATGACCGCCAGGTGGCGCAAAGGGACATTTAGCAAAACGTAAGTGGGGCTAATGTCTATTAACAGTAGCCTAAGGATGAAATACTACAAGTTATGGTAATTTCCAAATAAGCCTACAACAAATTGTTGGTCATACAGATAAGATATAATCTTTTAAAACTGTAAAAGGTTAAAGTAGGCCTACACTCACAGGCTAAAGACAAAACGTTTTCTCGCTCATGTGAGAATCAAACGTTTGGTTATTTCTCAGTAACAAAATTCATAGCCGAGCGGTAGAACTTACGGTTCGATCATCAAGATGACACAGGTTCAAATCCCGCACTAACATGGTCTGCTGTATATTTTATATTTATTATTGCAGAGAGATTTGTCTAGCTCTAAAACTCTGTTACACCATACAGTTTTGTTTTATATAGGCTATATATATTTTTTATTTATTTATTCCAGGCTCTCACGCATTGAGCGCCACACCCCCGATTTCTCACGCTGAAGTGTCAACCCGGTCGGTCAAATTCCTGAAAGATATAGTTTATCTATAGATCTACCTGTTGAGCCACTCGTGATCGACTAGTTATACCGTAAATTAGTTAAAATATTCCGTAATCTATTTAGAGCGAGCGTGCATGCGAGACAGATATTGTGCTCCAAACCGTGCGCGCGCATGGCAGAGAGGTCTGTTCCCTACAACCTAGAGTTTTTAAAAACATGGTTTTAAGTAAAGTGTGATTTGCCAGGGGGGACTGGGATTTCCTTCTGGTCTAAACATCCCTACTTCTGCTGAATTATTTTAATCCCCACACCCCTCCCTCCACAGCTAATCAATGCTATAGGCTACTTCACCAATATCAAATATATAAAATAGAGATATGCAACAGGCACGTTTAAACGAAAAACAATAAAATCAAAACCAGCGTTTCAGTTGTTCATTAGTGGCCTTAATGCATGCACGGCTTTTCAAAATTTCACAAAGCGTGTTGAGATTATTTTGAATGAAATATTGAAGTTTATAATTAAGTGTTTTGGCACACCACGCCGAGTGACCCTATGCATTTTTCTAAAGTCGGGTTTTATTCTGGCATCGTGAGTTAGTGTTCGACAAACGCGGCGGAGCGTTCATTTAGATTAATTTATTTATCTCATTATTACAGCTAAAATAACTTAATAGGCGACTCCGTAATTTTTTGGTCATACAGATAAGAGTAGAGTATAGCTTACATCGTTCAAAACTGTAAACTTGTATTCATATTAGGCTAACGACAAAAACAGTATATCTGTCGTCTCTGTCTCCGGGAACTGAGCGTCACAAAAATGAACCGAAAGCCACTTCAGCTCAGTCACAATAAGAAATCGGCTATGTCTAAAGCCTTTAAATGTCTAAATATTTAGGCTAATAAATGTTATCTGATTATGTAGGCTAATCCATATGAAAACGAGAGGTACAGAGGATCTACTCAAACATGCGGTTCCCAATGAGAAAATGACAAGACATGGGTGAAAATCTCACTCTAATTAAATGTAGGCTAAATCGCCCTGAATTAAAATGTAAAAACATAATAATGTATTTGTCGAAATGTTGCGATATTGTTTCATTTAAGTTCATAATTATTCTATAAATGTTATTTAATTTAGCAGCATTACCACGAAGCACCGTGTTTCGATATTTATTTGAATAATACAAAATAAAATAAAAACTTAATTCACAAATTGCATGCCTGGTTGTAAGGATCCAAAGATCCCTGTAGACTTTAATATTAAGTGACAACAAATTCACAAGCGTTTTTTCAGATTATATTTAGTTTTGCTTGGAAAAAGCTGCCCCAAACCAGTTTTATTTCATCAATTATTGAAATAATGAAATATTTAGTAATAAACTTTTATGACAGAAATATCACTAGGCTACATGTAACTTAAATCATTTAATTCCTTCATTATCAACACTGTCTAGAATGGCGATTTAAGTGTGAATTGCGACTTCTCTTTGTGTTAAGTCAGCCTCAGACTCCGATAGCCTGTGGGGGGTTGGAGGGACAGTTGCTGGACAAAGGTGTTAATGTTCCTCTTTCATATGGAGAGTGTCGGATAGCCAGCCTGATGAGCAGGCAAAATTATTGTAAGGATAAATCTGTGTCCAAATGTAGGCCCCATATCTTATTAAATTATAAATATTGTAGTTTATTTATTGTAGCCTATTTAAAGTTTTTTTTCACACAAAATTTCAATTGAAGTTATTGTAAGGTGAATTCAACAAGGCATGCTGTGTCTTTGAAGCAACAATTAAAGGTTAAATAATTTTTCCGTGATTTGTATGGCTGACACGCAGCGACATATACAGTATTATCAGCTGTATGATGTGTTTTTACCCTGAAATGATTAATTTCGAGAGAGAGACCCGCGCGCGCAGCGAGGGAGACTAAATAAACTTGTTAAAAAGAGATCCAGCGCGAGAGAGGCAAAGAGAAACGCATGTTTTTAATTTAATTATGTTACTTTGGACAATTTTCGTTTTGTAGGCCTACTGTTTTAATTAATTTAGCTGTAATTTCTTTGGCAATACAAATTTAAAATGTCGCAAGAATAAGATTAGCCTAGTGTTTCTTATTTTGCATCGCAAAAGAAATAAACTCTAAACAAGATGCAACCCTGTTTTAAATTAAACAATTTAAACCTTGAAATGTTCGAACTTGGTTTCAAACTTAAGTAATTTTAGTGTTCTTTTACATTACACAATAATTTAGCAGACTAAAGACGAGCTTCTTCATTTTCATTTTCTGATCGGCTGACAATCTTCATCAGTTTTTGTCGTTTGTGCAGCGGCTGCGGTTCTACAGGAATGTAGCAAATTTATGTTGTAATGATAATCAAACAAAACTCTTGACTTTAAATAAGTAAACAGATATAAACAGTTACCTATTTAAGCATCAAGGTGGGAAAATATAAACGTAGGACAACATCGGTTAACAACATGTATGCTACATTGAGATTCGATCTCGGGTGGATTGAAGCTCCTCGAAGCTCGTTTCGTTGCGTTGATCACTGAGCTGTCTTCAGTATGCTGTTTAAGTTGTAAAGCCTCATTCATGTAGCCTAAATGTTTTTATTGCAATGTTTTATGTTGAAATGTTTTCATTATTTATTCAATTACATTTCAGTAGCCTAATTTCAGTATTGTGATTATGAATTATTTTAACTACGTTTCACTTGTTGAATTCTTCTGCTACCAGCTTTCAATCGCTCTGAATCAGCGCGGTGCGGCAGCAGATTACGCATTAGAGAGAATAAACCGGAATAAACGAACACTTTTCAGAGTCTATGATTGTAGCGCCTCTTAGCGGTACAAGGCATCAAATACACCACACATTTTACCGCCGCGGTGGAACGGCTGATGTGGGCATTGTCATGGCTTGCCTCGACATTTGCGTTTGAATAGCGCGCGTCCTCCGTGGGCGTGTCAGATTAACGCGTAATGAAGTGTAATGAGCTGGGGGAAAAAATACTGACAGCACTCTCTTTTCATACAGATTGCATAAACTGAGAATATTTGTTTTTTATATAAATTACTTCATTTAAAAGAAGAGAATTTAAGCTTCATAAAGAAAAACCTCTCGTGCCTGTGTGACAAGTAATCGCGGAGTTACAGTTAATCTTAGGACGCGTTTCAGAATGGACTTCACTGACAGAGAGAACGCAGAACTCGCATCATGTTTGTTTTTCTTTATTTGGTGAAAAGCACAACACTTTGTTTTTATTGTGAGTATCCACAAAAAAAATAGAAACTTAACAGGATCTAATGATGTACAACACTTATATGTAAGATCAAAATTAACAGAGTAATTTGAGTCTCTTTTGCACTGATAAGGAAAAAAGTGAGCTGGTATCGCCGGCGAGACCGCCGACCCCAGAGAGTTAATGCATTAACTAACATGAACTAACAGTGAGCAATTTTTACAGAATGTATTACCCTTTGTTAATTTTCATCTTTTGCATTAACTAATGTGAACAGATACAACTTTTGATTTTAATAATGTGTGAGATTAACATTAACTAAGATTAATAAATGCTGTAGAAGTATGGTTGATTGTTAGTCCATGTTAACTAATGTTAACTTATTGTAAAGAGGTAGCCTACCAAAATATTGTTTGGGTAATCTGGATGTTGTCCTTCTTATATATATAGGCTATATATATATATATATATATATATATATATTCACTCATTTTTCCAAGGCATAAAGTGAGTATATTTATCTAAATTGTAACTTTTTAGAAGGAGATTCTAAATATCTCATTTTAATCTACGTTATTACAATGCAGACTTTTCATCTTGGAAATATTTTAACTTTTGGTTCTTTCTTAAATGAAGACTTAGGCCTATAGATAACATTTTTGAGACTTTGAGACTTGAGATTGCAACTTTAAGATTAAAATAATATCAAAATACAAGAAAATTGTTTATTAATGATGACGTGATATATATATATATATATATATATATATATATATATATATATATATATATATATATATATATATATATATATATATATATATCGTGTCGAAACCGATACAAATCTATCTCAGTTTGACTTATTGTTAACGAACACGCTGATGAATTATTTTAGAGATGAATTTTTTTTAATGTTTTCTAAATTATTAAAGAGAATCGATCATTCTTGGAGCGCAAAAAAAAATGTAACGCTCACAAAAAAAGGTAATCACTTTCTAGGGTTAAAACCTATAATTTCAATTAAATTAAAGAACTGTTAAATTCAATTAAAGAAAATTCATTCGAAACATTTGTGTAATTATCCAGTTTCTACTTTTGTTGGATGTTTTTGTAAAATAACTGTGCGCTTGAATATGGGCAATATTACTACAACTACAGGAATACACGCAAATAAATCAAATAACTGATAAAAATAATCGTAATCAAAGTCATGTTCGTCTACGTTTATAAAACAGTTTGCTTTAGAAAAACATGTTTAGAAACGAATGCATCATTTAATTGTGTATTACATTGCCAAACATTAAAATTAAGCATATGAAAGGATTTTGTGCGGAATAGTAACAAGGCCTTTAGATTTTATTACATTATGCATTTTAGATAGGCTATATAGTAAATAATATTATTTTACTCGTTTAGTTTAGTATTTGTTTTTTTATAAATAAATAAATGTCTGAAACTCATTACTCAATTGCATATGCATATACGAATGACAAATATTTTGTACAAGCTATGGCCTATATAATATCCGAGAAACGATACAGTTGCATTGGGACAAACTGCATGAACTGTTATTGTTCTTTTTAAACGTAGCCTACATATTTTAGTAGCTCGAGATTTTTTCTTCTGCTTAACCGTCACACAACACATAGCCTACATATTCATGTAAAGCATCCATCACAAACAACCACCAATGTAAATTAGAAAACATAATATTGATGGACTACTAAGATTAATCTGTTGTTTTCTTGCAGGCCATTAAAACAAAATAACCACAAAAGTATTTTCACGCCAACTGCCTTGATTCTTACATGCAGGCGAAGGTGAACATTATTTAATTAGAAACCTCGGATTGTTTTTTTAAGGAGATATTTTCTATAAGAAAATAAAAGGTGAATAACTGCAAAACAACAAATATTCTGGTTTATATGATTATAAATGATTTGCATCTGGTATAAATGCATACAGCAACGCAAATGTTAAATAATAGGCTATATTGGTAACGTAATATAGGCTACACGTAACACAAACCTGCAGAACATAGGCTAATAGCCTATATCATAACGCATACCTTAACCCAAATAAAATGCAACCATTCAAAAGCTTTAATCTATTTATTAGCTCAAAATCCCAGCCATTTAATGCAATACGGATGCATCTTAAAATATATTTCCAATAATCTATTTTTATTTTTGACATGACAATAAACTAGATTGAATGAAGGATGAACAACTAAATGACTCCAAGCACAACCGGTCTGCCCTTAAACATCCATATTTGTCCAGTTTATATCTTGAAAAATGTCTTAATAATTTCTTATATTTCTTAATATCAAAATTAAATATTCCTAAATTCCAGCGAGATCTTAAAGAATGAGACCAAACCAGTTTATATCACTTCAGAATTAGAAAAATCAGTTTTTCGGCATAATCTTCCTACCTTTTTAACTATCGTTTAAAATTAGCCGCTTGTAACATAATAATAACAGCCTAATAATAATATTAAAAATAAATAAATTAATAATAATAAAAACTAGATGACAACGAATACGTCAGCAAAGGACTTCCATGTCGATATTATAGCGAATATCGACGGCTGTGAAATATAGGCTGTGTTAGCCTATTAAGATACACGGTAAGGCAGCACAAAACTCGGAACTCAATTAATTACATTTTCAGTTTCGCTCTGAAGTGAATTTATCCTCATTTTCCAGGACAGAGATAATATGTGATTAGACATCACGGCTGCAGCGTTAGCCCTGAATTCAGCACGATGAATTTATTGGGAATCTGCACTAGTCTGAACAGCGCTCGTCTTCTCTCCTCACGCAGATCTCGCGAGAGCGGTGGCGTGGCTGCTTGGCAGTAGCTTGCAGTAAGACAGAGGGAGAAGGCAGGCAGCATCATGGCGGACAGAGACAGTGGAAGTGAGCAGGGAGGAGCAGCCACGGGCCCGGGTGTCGGTTCCATGCACCCAGTGACAGGAGGGGCGGGCTCGGCTTCCGGGCTGCAGCACGAGACGCAGGAGCTCGCTTCGAAGCGGGTTGACATCCAGAATAAGCGCTTCTATCTAGACGTAAAGCAGAACGCGAAAGGCCGCTTCTTGAAGATAGCAGAAGTCGGGGCCGGGGGAAACAAGAGCCGCCTCACTCTCTCAATGTCTGTTGCTGTCGAGTTCCGCGACTACCTGGGAGACTTCATCGAGCACTATGCCCAGTTAGGGCCGAGCAATCCGGACGTGGCGCAGGACGAGCCGCGGCGGGCGCTGAAGAGTGAGTTTCTGGTCCGGGAGAATCGGAAGTACTACATGGATCTGAAGGAGAACCAGAGGGGCCGCTTTCTGAGGATCAGGCAAACCGTCAACCGGGGGCCCGGCTTGGGATCCACGCAAGGCCAGACCATCGCTCTTCCAGCCCAGGGACTTATCGAGTTTCGCGACGCTCTCGCCAAACTCATCGACGACTACGGAGTGGAGGACGAGCCGGCGGAGCTGCCCGAGGGAACCTCGTTAACTGTGGACAACAAGCGCTTTTTCTTTGACGTGGGCTCCAATAAGTACGGGGTGTTCATGAGGGTAAGCGAGGTCAAGCCCACCTATCGCAACTCTATCACAGTGCCCTACAAAGTGTGGTCGAAATTCGGCAGCACGTTCTGTAAATACGCAGACGAAATGAAAAAGATTCAAGAGAAACAGAGGGAAAAAAGGGCATGCGAGCTTCAGCAGCAGCAGCAAGAGGAGATGCACGCCGACGACGGGGACGAGGATTGATAGTGGAGGGAAACATGCAAAAAAAATAATAATCCGAATAACCTAAAGAGAAATTATACGTACTTTGCTGTAAAAAAAGAAAAAAAGAAAAAAGAGAAAGATACATAAAAGATAAGTAACTGTTTAACTCCACGGGAGCACTACCCACAAAAAATACAATTCTCCACAGACTGACAGTCCACCCATCGCTGGATGTCATCCACTTACCCACCATTAATACCAGTAAGCGGCTGCTAAACCAAGTAATAACATTATATATGAACTGTGTTTCTTACTTGACGACAACAGAACTGAGTGTTTCTTTCCCTTATTAACCGAGAACTTTTTTACACGTTCCAAGATATTATAGAAGTGTTTGCAATGGAGTTATTGCCGAGATTACGAGGAAATGGTTCCTTAACGCTATGACTTCAGCACAAATCAGATGTTTTAGTTTTAGTTTTTAACCAAATTTTCGAATCAACTGAAGAGGTTGTCATGCCACTACTAGATTTTCCAAGCATCACCTGAGGGCTAGCTATAGGAACCCTGATGGGGGGGAGGGGGGGGAACAAAAAAAAAAATCAACCTGTTGATTGATAGAGGTACAGAGGTCAGCAGAGTGGTCCTGTGTGCAGGTGTCTGGAGGTGGTAGTCGACCTCTTCGCAAACATTCTGAGGAGTATTACCAGTGTATTTTTTTAATTGAAGTTGTCTTGCAGATGATATGCCATGTATTTGTGTCTCGTTGTCATTCAGTGTATAAAACAGGTACTCGATAAGTAAGAGCAATGACAACAGAAGAGAAAGAGCTCTCGAAAACATTTTTGTAAACGAAACTGGACCCCTCGACACAAACATACAAAGAGTCGTATGAAAATGCTCATGTAGAAAAACATACAAAGTATGATTTTGTGAATCAGATATATTTCAGTGGAGAAGAAAACAACCCACGTTTTTAGTGGGAATTTGACAAACAATCTGTTAAAGGGTTTAAAATATATAGAGAAATATATATAGATATATATATATAGATATATATCAGTCTACCAATGAGAGGATGAGTGGCGCCAAGGAATGCTGCAGTTGCATGTTTACCTGTACACAGCCACATTGAGGTGGATTTCTCAATGTTCGTCCTCAAGGACTCTTTTCTGTAATGGTTTCAATGTCTATGAAGTCAGTAATGTTTGGTCAGGTAGTTGATACTCGTTTTTCTTTCAAAGAATGAGTGTACATAAGATAATATATCAACACTTGTTTGATCAGACATCAATGGAACGAAAGCCCTTTTTCCATGGGGGCCCTTGAGGACCTGTGTTGAGGACCCTGACTTTAATGAAACTTGTTGGGGAGCATACTCTTCAGCATTAAACAACCTGGTGCCTTACAGACTCTGCATGCTTATACACTGGCTGGTGCTTTGGATCTAAGTTTGGGTCCCCATCCCGCCCTTCCCCCCTCCCTCTTTTTTTTTCCTCGTCTGGTTTTGTTTGGTCCTGGCCCTCCTGGATGCTATTGCATAACTCATGGTCTTTTCGGTTGAGAAGCAAATCATTATTTGCAGATTCTGATCACAACACGTGATTTCGAAATCACCTAGGCGTTTTCCCCCCCACCTTGACGAAAGCAAGATGAATCTTCCCTTAGTTTATCAAATGCTTTGTACCAGGCAAAAATGTGAGGAAAACTTCCGTACTGAAGCCTTTCTGTAGTTTGGCAGTAATGTGTCATTGTCACAGACCAAAAGCCTAGTTGAGGGGTGTGGCCAGGATTTTTGTTTTCTCCCCAACCTTTCAGTGTTGCTTCATGTAATTTGTCATTTTGGAAACTTTAGGATTTATTTTCTCTTCCCAGTGCTATATTTCATTACTGTGTGCAATATTGAACGTGCCAATGTTGGCAATATATGTATATCAATTAAATATATGATTAATATTTGAAAAGCATGTGGCTGAATTCCACGTTTATTTCTTTAAAAGGTTTTTTTCTCTCTCTCTTTAAAGCCTTTATCTGCACTTAAAAAAGGTCTGTATCTGGAAAAGAAACCAATTTCAATGAACAAACTTCACCCAGGTGAAGGAAACACACAGCAGTTATATATCCTGTCTGCACTTTTTGTGAACGTTCATGTCATAATTGCCACCCCGTTTCGTCTCTGTTCAGGTTACAGAAATGGGCATATGAAACAATGGGGGTGTGAAGGCCTTTGGGTTAGGGGCAATGAATATGTATCCTTAATTTCCCTTCTAAATACATACATGGGATGATTCTAATGATGAAGGTGTGTGATGACCTCTTCTGTCTTCAGTAGCACATTGCTTTTCCAGCTGGAGAAAAAAAAAATGTTTGACCAATGTTTGTTTGAAAATTATCTCAACAAGGAATGCCTTGTACCGTTTTTTCTTTCTTTCTTTATCTCTTAACTTATGTTCCTTCCCTTTGCAAAGAGGTTCACCGAATTACTCATTCGGCGGTTATGAGTCAAATATAATTTATGTACATTTTACAAATTAAAAAAATAAAAAGAAATGTTAATTTACCCACCTCTTACGAAAAGAATGTTCAATATCAATGTTTCTGTGTTTCTTTTTCTCGTGTGAAAGTTCAGATAGTGGTTGATATTGTGGCTCTGACTTCAGTGATGTTTTGTTCTGTTCACAGTTGTTAAAGGAATAGAATTATGATCTGAAGCATGCAGATTAACCAATATTATTTGAATAACATGTCAATGTCATTTGATGCGATCTCTTGCTGTATATTCGTTGGTTCCAGTGGTTAACCAATGTAATACCACTACAATTTCTAAGAATGTATGATCATATCCAAGCCTTTTATCATCTTATATTTCTACTACAGGGGTCTTTCTCACAATAACAACATAATAATATTAGATTTTTTTAACTGATACGGTTTGAGCTACAGTTCAGAAGGCATTCTGTTGAATGTATATCCTGAAAAATCATATACATTTGTAATTTCAAGAAGTAGGCTAATTTTATGTCTTAATTGTGCTTTATACTAAATCATATGTTCACAAAATATTGCAGATTCTCGGGAAATTGATCTCTTGCTCTCCTCATCATACTTTGTAAAAAATAATATTATAATAACTGTCTGACCTCTGTTTGGTATGACAGATTTCTAATGTTCTTGCTGCAAAACAAACCAATAATTTAATTTAATTTAATTTAGTTTTATTTATGTTTCTTCATTAATAATATTGTTAGCATAACTTGACTTTGAAAGAAAGTGCTGGAGTAGTTGAACTGGTTTTGAACATGAAATAATCTTTATTTGATATGGCCCTTGAGTTTATGGTCATGCTACATAGATTTAAAGGCATTGAATCCAGCCAAAATTTTGAATTATGGACATTTCTATTGTCCTTGTGACGAAATGGAATTTGAGTAACAGTTTTACACGGTAAATCTTCAGTAAATTATGATTCTAAAATATTTGTACATTTTTTTTTTATTTAGAAAAAAATTGTAAATCACTTATCATTGCACATGAAGTAAGTTTCAATTGTGATAAAATATGGAAAATAACTGCTTCTGTTGATAAAATAAATAACCACTAATCATGAAAAAGTCTGGTTGGGTAATCATAAATCAGATATAACAAAATACAACTTTAACCATTAATTAATGCAAGCAGCAATTATAAGGCTGCGCACAGTAATAGTATGCATTATTTCTATGATCATGTAGATTGTTTTGGTCACAGACCAGAAGTGAATTGAGGAAAATACCTTCTAATGAACCATTATTTAAAATGTTATACATTTTAACCAGATTTATTTGATATTCTCAGGGCATTGCAATGATGGTACAATTCACAATGATGCATAAAAGGTTTGTCAGTGCACAAAAACTTCATCAGCAGATTTGTTTTTCTGGAGAAATAAATGCATTTAGGTGAAACCACTTAAATTAACAGGTAAAGACTGAAAAACTTTGAAAAAGAAAAAAAGAAACTATGAAATTTCAAAAAGATGTAAATGCACACTACATCAATCGGCTCCCTGGTTCAGTAGTCAGAGCACTGATCAGGGAGTTGGACATTTTAAGGGCTGTCTTAATCGCAAAATCCTTCCAGTGGACTAAACCGTTCGCTCCCTAAAAAAGTCTCACAATGCACTATGAAAACCATGGAAGCATCGATGCCCACTATGGCTGCGTCCGAAAACCTATAGGCAGCTGACATGTTGCCTCGCTACCTTATCAGGGACTGACTTTGCAGGCAACTTTTGCATACAAAGGCACCTCAAGAAACTGATTTTGGACAGACTTCTGAGGCAGGGTAACGGTTTAATGATCTACAGCAAAACAGCAAGCTTTGCTGATAACTAAGCGAATATTTAATACCTACAATAGTAAATTCTCGCTAGGAATGAAATCAAAAGTGGAAAACGTTGGTCAAAAACATATTTACACACAAACTGACCATCAACCACAACTTTCAGACGCCATCTTTATTTTTTAGCTCAACTGTCGCAGAATGGAAAGCACAGGATTGTGGGATATCAAAGGCAGAGGTGGATCTATGCTGACCTCAAAAATCGATCAGATGAAGGGATCTCAGGAGACAGGAAGTGAAGCTAACATTGGATTCGGACGTGCATTGAAGCCTTCCTACCTTACTTGCAAAGCATATTCCAAAGGCAGCGTTTTTAAGATTTTGGACGCAGCCTATGTTACCTTAAAGGAAATTCTGAAGCACACAATTCACTACACATGATGACACGTGATGGATCTTTTAACCTTTATTTAATTATACTTTTACCTAAACATACATCAGATAATAAACAATCTAGGCCTAGCTAACATAATTTACGAATGAAATGTTGCAGGTATATGTAACAATCAAAGTATTTATCATAATCTACAGTACTTTAAATAACAAACATGTCAGAAAGATATCTGTGCTGCTGCATGGGGTTCATACCAATAGTGACATACAATGAGGACGTTGTCATGTTGCCGGAAATAGAGCCATCAGTGTCCCAATGTGTAGTGAGCCAGGGATCTTACTGTCCTTGCAGTGCTTGAATTTACTACATGATTCACGACCTAGGTAGGGAGCTAGGGAGCTGATTGAGACGCACCCATATATTTATGACAATTTGACCATATGTGATGCTGTCATCAAACTGATAAAGTACCATCAAGGCATGATGGCAATGACGCCTGCCAAGGCCAATTCACCTATTTATACAATGCACTTTCTTTGGGAAAGTATACGCACTTTTAGGATGCAGCAAGATTATGCAAGTAATAGGACATGTCATATAATTGTCTTGATGCCACAGACTTAATTGTAGTTTAGTTAGTGCATCCTGTCACTGTAAACTGGTCTGTCACTTATCCAGTCATTTCTTTTTGCTACAATGCTTTACCGTATTGGAGAGACAAGAAACAGCAGCACGTCACTGAAGATCTTGTTGACGCACAACTGTCAGGATACTTTATATGACACATCTCTTTATTTATTTATTGTTTTAGAATGGGATTCGTATGTTGTCAGGCTGATATAACAGATGGGTATACACATCCCGTTTCTTTATAGTATAACTATTCAATAATACAAAATACAAATCTGAATTTTTTTTTTTTTGCATGTTTAACATGCGTTACACACTTTTCCTTGAAGATGTTCAAGGAACATAAAATTCACACAAATGCATCAGCAATGAGCAATATACATGCAGTGTGCATAACATAAGCAATCAAGATTATTAATCATTCAAACCCTTTAATAGCAGCATTTCTGTTCTCTGTGAAAAGCGAGCAGCTGGCGTTCACCACTTAATAAACTAATTAGTGTCTTTGTCTGACCTTGCAAGAACAAATTAGTTTTTCTTTTTTATAGCATTGAACCATTAAAGGTGAAATGTGTGATTTCTGCACCACTAGCGGCAACGAACGGAACTGCCAAAATAATGCGTTTTCTCGACGCTCTTTTTCAAATTTGAAAAAAAAAAAAGTTATGTGGTTGAAATGACTTTATAGTTTTGTTCTGCAACATACATTACATACAGTCAAAAAATGGATTCTAAAAATCTAAAAGTAGACTTATTAACTCGTATTGATGAAAAGAACTGATCAAATTCCACGCTCAAGTTTAATTCGCCCTATATCAATCTAAGTGAAAGCCTCCCTTTTGTGCCAGATAAATATTGATTTCTGATTTGGTTGTAATAATAATACATGTTTACTACACAGCTCTTCGGATTACTTGATTCCGATTGTTCAAGCATTTTCATAAAATCTATATTTTACTGTAGCACATGCAACATATTGGTATTTATCACAGTCCATCTGGCTACAAAATCTTTCTCCACTGACTGTTATGCAAAATATCTGTTATTCAAAACAATTTGCCAAC